TTGTTTTGTTTTTTAACACCCCGTGACCCGGTGATGACAACAACACTTAGCAGACAACATTGTTTTTTTTATAGCATATCTTTTGTATTTCCCATCGCCGGTCCATTTAGCCTTTCTTTTTTTATTCAATGATGTTCATGCCAAATGAAAGAGAAAGGAATGAATTTTGAATGATGTTATTTTGAAGCGAAAATGAATATTTTTTCATTAAAAAAAGGGGATTTTTCTCAGAAAATTGTGCATAATTTCTTAATGCTAACCGCCGAGTGACATTTTCCACAGCCAAATCGAAGATTAATTACCAGTGAATAATTCCATGTGCAAAAAATAGCCGTCTGGATCCTATAAGGTCGCCCTAAAAGGTCCAGAAGTTTACTAATTGATCGAAAACCTGTTGCGCATAATTGTATTTTTCACGGTCAGTTTCCATTATTTCATCTTGATATTATCATTTTCGGACAGCCAAGTCATCAAGGATTCAGGAAAACACTTTGACATAGGTTTTCTTTAAGAACTTTACATTCTATGAGGTGTTTAAAATGTTACTGACGAATGAGATTTTTTGCCGCATATTTCGTTTACGCGCCATGTTGGATTTTCCTATATGACAAAAACAAGGGTTTTAAACAGCTGTGATATATATATATATATATATATATATATATATATATAATATAACTGGGTTAAAAGCTGCCCTCTCAAGCAGCAATTAAGCTAACTCCTGTGGAGGGCTCTTGATTGGGCCTTCATCACAATAGATAGGAATAAAATTGAAAAAGTGTGACACAGTTACACGCTGACATTTGCATTTATTATATAGATTTTCACTCTGGGGGGTTTAATCTATAATAATGTGGGTAACAAAATTGAAAAAAAAATTATTTCTTCTGTGTTCTAAACCTCCAGCCAAAATTGAACTTTGGGTGGGGATCTGTTGGATTAGCTTGCTAACCCTCATTCTGTTGCAAGAAACTTGACATAGTTTAATGTAAATTTTAAACCAAGCTAAATTTATTTTGGTATATCCTTATATTTACTAATCCTAACAAGCAGTAAGAATTTTTTAAAAAAAGACAAAATTATATAATATTTTACTAAAGAATTTACAAGCATAAGTTTGTAACTTTTAATTTCACTACAGTTAATTATTTATATCTACATTTATTTTTATTTTGTTTTTGCATTTTTAGCTGAAGCTCTAACCAAAGCTGATGTTTCTCATAAAGTGGATGATAGCAGTGGGTCAATTGGTCGCCGATATGCTAGGACAGATGCAATTGCTATTCCCTTTGGCATCACCATTGATTTTGATACATTGAAAGAACCCCACACAGCAACTCTCCGTGAACGAGATTCTATGAAGCAGATCCGGGCTCCGGTAAGTCTATCAAAAAATAATAATTTTGAGTGGCTGAACATTTCAACATATTACTTAGGTTTAGGGTTTTTTTTTGGTTTTTTTTAATCTGTTCTTGGGCCTTCTAGAGAATAAGTTTAATGCAGAGTATTATTTTCGACAATCAGTTTTCAAATGTCTATCAAGTGTCCAGCCTAGAAACTCATTGTTGAACCTTTCTATTTATTTTCTAGTTTATTGGCTTTGTTGCTTTGTGAAGGGACTTTTGGCTGCAAATTTAATTAGGATCCATCTGTGCAATTTTAGCAATAGAGCACAAAACCAGATAACTAGCATTAGTACTCATCAAAAATGAAAATTTATTTATATATGATCATTACTTATGCCTAGAATCAGAGTATCTGTGCTTTCTGTGGTGGGGGGGTACCATTTCCCTGTTATGGATCTTATATATATCTGTGTATGTATGTGTGTGTGTGTATGTAAATACAATTTACCTAACTCAAGAAAACACTAGAACACTTGAGAATTAACAACACTAGTATATGTTTAGATAACTGTAAGTCAAAATAGCTACAATTGAAAAAACAAGGAAAAATGAGTAATGGTTAAGTAGTAAGTGTAAAGTGAAAAAAAATTATGAAAAGGACAAATAAACATGATATTCTACATGTACACATAGATGGGAGCATGGGCATGAACACACACATACACTATGAAAAAAACTTACACCAATGAAAAGTGCATATAAAAAAGATAAAAGTGCAGGGGTTACACTGCAAAATTACCTGAAATAAAAGAAAATATTTATTTTATTTTAACTACGGTTTCTTCTTTTTTTCACTATAATGTTGTAAAAACGCTTTCTCTTCATTTTTTTTTTTTTTTGTTGTTTATTATTTAACTGGGATCAAGAAGTATAAGCAATCAATTACTGATACCTCCTGATGAGTGGATGGAGTGATTCCCAGAGAGTCTGTCTATGAAACTGTAGTGTTGGGATGCTGAAGGTAACATCAATCAATGAAGTGACAAATATAAATAGGGATGTATGTAGATATGCATGCAACAGACTGTCGCCACTCGGTGTTGACCTCCATGTCCATTTTTATATTTACGTACACTCTATCCCAGATATGGAACACTATATTGTGACTAGAAATTTAGTACCTGAAGGAGGACGAGATCAGACCTGGTCTGATTATTACTTTTGGTGTAAAATTGACAGTTACCAATTGATTACTATGCTCACACTACTTATATCTATAAATTCTCTAAGCTTGATATTGACCACTTTTCCCACATAAATAATGTAAAAGATTTTAAAAAGGTGGTAGTGCTGCACTGGGTCAAGAGGGTAGCTGCTGCACCATGCCACACAAACTGGAGAACCTATTCATGGCTGTCAGACAATTTCTGCAACCTCATCACCCCTTACATTCAGCCACATAACTCCCCAGACTACAACCCCCTTGATTATGATGTGTGGGGCGCAGTTAAGCGAGAGACCAACAAAACTCCTGGTAACACCAAAGATGAACTGAAGGCAAGAATTATTGGTAGCATTCACCAACTGAAGCAAGGAGACAATCCAGAAGAGTTGCAGGAGAATCCAAAGTCGTCCAGAAGCCATGGTTTAAGCCAATGGAGATTTTATTGAATAAGTTTACTCTTTAGTATTTCAAGATATTTTTTGTGTAATTTTGATAAATATATCTGTTAAAATGAAATGTCAGTGTTATTTTTATTTTTGCATAATTTAGAGGATAATTTATCCATTGCACCTTGTGTGCTAATGTAGAACACTGACAGTCCCCCAGCCAAAAAAAGTAGGAGTAGAAAGCTGGTGCTGCCATACCCTCCTCCACTCCAATTCCAAGACTATGGTGTGAAGTGGCTATCACAGAAATTCTTACTTTGGTCAAAAGTTGTCAATAAGAGAAACTTGCTGGTTTGAAAATGGGTGAATTCAATCACTTCTGAATGTAATGCATGTTTTTGTTTTAATATTTTTTTCTCTTGATTCTCTGCAGTGTCATCTTCCTTTGCTTGAACATTTATCCGTGTTTATATATATATATATATATATATATATATAGTCATACTAAATCATGTTAACACAATCTTAATTGATTGGGGTTGCAAGATTTAATGAAGTTCATTTGTTTCGGTTACTGACTGGGGATTTGCAAATGCAGTTTCAAAGAGTTGGTATTTGGTTTTATACTAAGTCAAAACTTAATTATTTTTTTACACCACTAACAAAAGCTAGGTTGGCATTTTTATGGTTGCTGTTCCTGGTTGATAGTTAGGAGCTCAAATTTTTGCATAGCATCTTAAGTGGCTGATCTGATTAACAGTTGCATGATATCAAGGTTCTTACAGTACCATATCAATCATAGAAGAGTGCTCCTGCAAGCACCTTTGATAGGCAACCCCAAGACCACACTATGTTGCAGTCTGCACCAGTTCCCTTCTTACTACATGTTACATTAGATGACCAACTGCTACTACTACCCTAGGCCTTTCCTTACCAATATAACACATCATTACTATAAACAACCAAAGATATAAGCCTAAACCAGATTGACAAAAAAACATATAATCTCCTTAACCTTTCTTTCTCCAACGTTTGTAGTATTTGTACCAACTTCTGCAGACATCTTAGCTCTCTATAAAACTAATCGTAACTCTTCAATCCCCTCCTCTGATTTCTCGTTTCCTGGCTACCTTCCTCTCCTCAGAAAGGATTCTAAAGTCCACATGCATTGCCAAGGTGTTTATGTCTGCAAACATCTCCTGCTGACTAAAGAACTCTTTCTTGAATCTCCAGACCATTTGTACATGTGTCTTTGTCTCTCTCTACTTAATTCAGTCAGCTATCTCTTCTTTCTCTACCTTTCCTCTTCCTCTCAAGACTGTTGTGTGCTAGATAGTATTTCCAGTAATATAGACAAGGCCATCTCCCTACACCCGTTTGCAAACATATTCATGTTCAGTGTACTTTAATGCCTACCATACCAGGTGGCTTAAACACTTTGTCACTAACTTCACTACCATCTAAATCCTTATCAATCTCTCATGCAAGTGGTTAACTTCCCCATGTATTTCCCCAGTAACCCTGATGGACACACTTCTCCATTTCTTTTCCCAGACATGTCATACTGCTCTCATGGCAACTCTGATTATGTTGTACTGTGTATGTATGTATGTATGTATGTATATATATATATATATATATATAGCAGTTAACTAATTTTTATTTTCTAATATTCTTCTATTCTTCTGTTTCCTTGAATCATGTTTTTTTATTGTCCTCTTTGCTTCTTTCACTCTATGTGAACCTTTTACATTCTAGTGACTTTTATTGCCTTGTTTGGGGTGAAATGATTTAAAATAATTCATGTATATTGGAATTTAAAAAAAATTTTATTGAATTTGTTTTTTTATAGAAACTTTACTTTATATTTTTTATTTTTAAAAAGTTTTTTTATTTACACTAAAACTCATCTGTTTTTAATCTTCCATCAAGATTGCTGATTTGCCGAATTTGGTCCGAGAATTGGCGCTAGGAAAACAAGATTGGCAGCAGGTTCTTGATACCTACCCACTCTTTGAACAGCAGGAATCGAGTAACAAGTGAGAATATTTGGAACTGATGGTATGTGGCCACAATCTGCAGACTGGCTACCACCTCCCTCTCTGCAAGAAACAAAACATCACTGACCAAATGAGATAAAATTGATCAAATTAAGATCAACTGTTGGCTTTTTTTGGCTCCATCTTTTGATCTTTTAAGTAAACACAAAAATTTTATCAATTTAACTTCTTACATTATTTTTTCCATGAAATATTCTTTTTGTTTTTACTTTAATAATTATATGCATAGCCACACAAAGTAACTACTTAAAGTGAATATATTTTCACACCTTGAAAGTTAAACTCTTTCTTTCATCATAAAGAATACATGTTATACAAATGTTACAATAATAATAAAATTGAGACAGAAAATAATACAGCGTTTGTGCTAAATGATGCCTTGTTTTAAAACCTTTTGGGGGGAAAAAAAAAATAATTTTACAAATATTTTTTTTTAATTGAGCATCAACCCAAGCAAGGCAGTAATACTACTAAAACACAAGGAGTTACAGGGTATAAAAGAATTAGGAATAGAAACATTAATGATGAGTAGAAAGAGAAGAGTAATCAGGTAGACAGTAGATAGAGATTGACATTGCATTTAAATTTTTGCAGATTAAAGTTGGCTGGAAAGTATGGAGCCTGAAAGGAGTTCCAAAAGCAAGAAGTGTGAGAAAAGAAACTGTTAGCATAGAAGTTATGGCTACATCTAGCTAGTTCAACTGTAAATTGATGAGATCTTGATGCCAGTCCAGTGCTGCACTGCATTAAAAAATTCATGGTACTATGGTGAAGAACTCACTTGAAAGCATTTATAGAAAAGATGTAGAGAGGTGGTGGGAAAGTGACTGGAGTTGAGCTGCCAGATCAGGACCAATAATACTGCAGATTTTTCTTTGGATCTGTAACAGAAATAGTGTATATAAATATAAATATTTCCACTAAGTGCCGTGCATATAAAATATACATAGATATAAAATGTGTGTTTGTGTGTGTGTATATATATATATATATATATATATATATAATGCCAACACACAGAAACAGATAAACTTCCTTACATGATGCTTTGTTCTCAGTCATGTTCTGGCTAGTTTGTATTGCTATAGATAACAGTGACGATTATAGTGTCTTCTTTCTCTTGTCAAAATGAATCTCATGGAAAACTTTATTGGCCCTGATCTGTCATCTCAACTTCCGTCACTTTCCCATTGCTGTAAGGTTGCCTCTCTGTCTTTTCTATAAATACTTTGCTGTGTTATCTTGACCAGAAGTGCAGTACTAGACTAGCATCGAAATCCCATCAATTTACAGTTGATCTAGCTAGATGTAACCATAAGTTCTACACTAAGAGTTTTTATTCTCACACTTCACACTTGTGGAACTCCCTGTCGGTTCCATGCTTTCCAGCCAACTTTAATCTGCAAAAATTTAAATACAATGTCAATTGCTATCTACTGATTACTCTTTCCTCTTCTTGTTCATTATTAATGCTTTTGTTCCTAATTTTTCCACACCCTCTAAACCTTTGTGTCTTAGTGACTTTATTGCCTTGCATGGAGGTGGTACAGAGTTAAAAAAAATAATTTTATAACATATGAAACCACAAAAAAAATAACACAGAACATTTCCCTGGTTTTACATGCAAAATTGAGGTTTCTGGTAGGCTGTAGACAACATTTGGTTGTACTTATCTTAATGCTAACATATGTTGTAGCTGTTTACAAGTAACATGGGGGGAAAAAAAACAAAAAAAGCTATCTTCTAACATGTATGACTGCTTTTTATAATTATTCCAACATTTTTCATTGCCACTTGTTTCATAAAATTGGCTTACAATTTTATATACATTTCCCTTATTTTTCCCCTTAAGATTTAACAATATTTAATCAGCAATCTTTAATCTTTATACCTGCAAGAAAACTGTATCAAAAGGACAGTTTTTTTCCCTTGACATCACTATTATTTTAACTACCTTCACTCCTCGTCAATGTTTATTCTTTTAAAAAGTGGTGATTAGAATTGTAATAATAACTGTGGCCCAGTGTATAAAAGTGTTGGTTGGATCCAATGACTTGACCGAAAGAGTTGTGAGTTCAATACCTGACTACTGCAGTGGCCAACAAAAACTTGGAGAGTTGATTTAAAGAGAGATAACAGAGACATCTGGAAGAGGCATGACACATGGAACTAGATCAATCTACCCTGGTGGACGAAATAAAGGGTTAAGTTTGAAATTCCAATCACCTGAAGAAGGCCAGATTGTATAACAGCCGAAACCTTGTGAATATGGCAATAAAGAGTCCGAACAATGTCAATAATTTGAATAATTACAATAGCTGTTTTCAGAAATATAGACAGATAAGACAAACTTGCAGGGAACCTCAATAAGTATCTATATATGTAAATGTCTAAACAACAATCGTTAATTGGAAACCCCTATTTCTTCAGAAAATGACTTAAGCTACCAGTCACTACTGAGGTTGACTAGTAAGAATGTTTCACCAGACAATTTCTTTTTTAAAAATCAATATTTAGATATTTTTTTTTTTTTTTTTTTTTAAGATTATAATGATTTATTGATAAAAGTCTTACTAATTAACCCACATCGGGGGGGGAGCTAGATTCATACATTACCTAAGTGTATTATTTGTGTGTCTAAGTGAAGAGAATATAACGAACCTAACTGAAATTGGAACTAGGCCCTTCAGTTAATAATTCCAAGGCATTATCTACTACACTGCATGCACATCCAAGTTTACATATATTCCCAAGCAGTCACCCATCTAGGTACTGACCAGACTCAACATTGCTTAGCTTTGGTGATCATACAAGAACCAGTGTTTCAATATGATGTGGCCATAATTCATCTTGGGAGTAAAGAGAAATAAACAGTGTATGAAGAGAAGTAATATTAACATTTTGGGGTGTGGGGTATTGTGAAAGTTGGAATGACTTAAGCAAAGTAATTAGACAATGTTCATCACTGTTTCTTCCTTTTCAGAGCATTTGACTTCCATGGTAATGACTTTCGTTTTCTTTAAAGCACCAACATCAGAAAAGGTTACACTATGCTAGTGAAATATGAGTAGCCACTAAAAATAATGGTCTAAGTAATATAAATATATATTACTTAGAAATGGTGTTTACAACATTAATGATAATATTTAATTTGCATAACAATTTATAAAAGCATATTTTAAATATTTCTTCTATGTTATTCGTTTTTAAATAGCAGCATGGCCCGGCGTTGCCCATGCTTGATTCAAAAATCGTACGACTCATACAGCAATCGCTATCTCTTGACTTAAAATATTTTTGCCCTTCCTTGCCTTTAAAGGAGTGCCCTTTGCCGTGCTGATGTTGCTACATGCCTTACTTCTTGCCTATCTCACACTGCGAATTTTTTCTAAGCTCTATACTAAACATTAAATCTGTTACGAAAAAAGAACTAAACAAAATGAACACAAAACGATCAGCTTTAAAAAAAGGACTCGTAACTGGAAAAACTGAATGAAAAAAGAATGTTAACAACAGATACTTTTTCAGACCCAACCCAGTTCTGCGGAATCAGAATCAATGTTGAGTTTAAGCAAGCAAATGAGCCAATTGGAGTAAAGTGCCATGCTGATTTAAATTTTTCCCACTTGTGACGAATGCAGCTATCGATTTTTTGGGCATGCTAGTTAACATTCGTGTCAGTCAGCTGTTGGCTCTCACGCTGGCCAATAGAATCTTCCTGCCTATTCGTGGCAGCCAGCTATAGGCTCTTGCTCTGTCCAGTAGAAAATGGCTGCAAACTACATGAAAACTGCCGTAGAAGCATGAAAAAATTGATTATTTCCACTATCGATGGGAGTTGGGAAATGCAAAGTCGGTGTTGGCGTTCCCGCTAGCTTGGAGCATGTGCATGTAAATTTTGGTGCAAATCCTTCGAAAATTGCAGCTGTGCATTCGTTACACACGCACACACATACATCCTGCCTTTTATAGATAGATTTAAATTTATGTGTTTGCGTTATATGTGGGATTGAATAGTGATGAATGAGTTTTTGTGGTGGATATGCAAATTGTAATGAATGAATGGGTTGTGAATCTGATCAGCTAGGTATAGGACAATGTTGACCAGCCTCAATCAATTCCCCTTTTTAGGCCTTGTGCCAAAATTGTATTATTATACAGAATAAATCAGCATTTCTTAAATGTGTATTGCATGAACGTCTGATTCTTTTGTTGGGATGACTCCCCCACAATGAGGAAATATAGTATTGGTATCTGAGCATAGACCTGATAATTCCCTTGTGTTGCCATTTTTGACCAGTGGGATTTATCACTGATGAGAAAACAAGTTCGCTTTCTGAGTTGTGAAACCTATTTTTTTAATTTTCTAAAAGAAGGTAGGTTATGTATGACTTGGGGTCATCAAGGGATGACTTCTGAGCGGTGAATCTATTTTCATTTCATTAATTATTTAAAAGAAGCGGTAATAAAGTTTTTGTGTGATGTAGTGAGTCCTGATTAAAACATATATATATAATGTAAATATAAAAACATGAACATATATAAGTCAAACAAAAAAAATCATTATAGAGCCGTTAGTCTTTTTATCTCATGCTAGATGCAATCGTCAGGCCTGCCGAATGCATCTAATATGAAAAAGACTATCGTCTTTTGCCATTCAAAAAAGATTGACTTTTTCATGTTCACTTTTTGTGCCATATTCTGGGGAACCTTGTCAAAATGATATAAACTGATCTCTGATATTGAAGCACTTTATCCCATAAATATAGCACATCTTAAGACTATATTTCTTCATATATATATATATATATAAACAAACAAAAAGAATTCAAATTATAATAAAATATCCACTTTCCTTTAAAACCCTTATCTCTTTTTCTATCTCAACTAACATGAAGACAACCCTAAAATAATAATTAAAAAAAAAATAGATTGAAAAAGGCCGAAGTTTTCTGGTCCATGGTGACTAAAATATACCAAAAT